AGTGGACTCATTTAAACCAAGAATTTCATCATACTACTTATTAAAAAAGGATTAAACCTCATGCAAAACAGAGACGTTGAATCAACCTTAATCACTCAAATCAAAATGAATACAGTTATGCAACTTATTGAGATAGCAAAATCATTGATAAACTGTTTTTCATAATACTGTTAAGTAAATAACAGTCATGGTATATTTTTTTTATAAAACTCAACTAAGTTAATAAACCATAATGTCTATATAAGTTCCCATATAGACTAAGTTACACGACACATTTCGCTGGAGAAAAATCAGCCAAAATGCATTGCAATTTTGATAGGCTTATCCTGGAAAAAGTAATGATCAAGATATTGTACGGTGAAGATAAATGTATGTATGAATCACTGGTGATTAATTAGAGAGTAGCCTATTTCTTATACATACTGTCTATGATCAAACTTATCGATACATTGATTTACTTTAATAACTAATATCATGTTGATAATATTTAAAAAAAGTTTCCATTTATGGCAGAAACAAAGTATTTATTTGCTGAGGTTAATTGCGAAGAGTTTTACGATTAAAAAATAGCTTTCATTACTATCTGACATCGTTTATAGAACCACCAAATACTAAAGAGTGATGAGTAACAGTTTAGAACACTTCAATTTGCACAGGATCTATAAAACGATCATTAAGCTAAGTTTATTTAATGGGGAAAATAGTTTCAATTATTTTTTTCCTTTGTCATACGGCATTTTACGCCATATGTATATGTAGAGAGGAACTAATCATAGTCGAACTCGTAAATATCAATGTATTGAAAAATTATTATATAACACTATTTGTATGCGTTACCTTTCGTGTACATTATCAGCCCCAAAATCTTAATCATAAATACCTGGAAACCATTCATTTACAATCTCTTAGTGAATTAAATTCACAGACAAATAAAGCAGGTCACGACTAAATTACACCAAGAGATTTATCTTTGACTTGAATTCTGCTTCACAGAAAACAAGGGGTATACAACACTCAGGAACTAGTATTCTAAAATATCCAATCTTTAAATTGAGGAAACATTTACAAGCATTCTATGTCAATAGTAATTATCCTGTCCATATAACATACGCTTGCACAAATTCTCGTGGTTAAATTATCATTTCGTTTGTTTTAATAGAAAGCATATACCGAAAAAGTAGAATGGGATTGTTTTGTTTGTGGAAGTAGTAATGAAGTTTGGAAGAACCATTCTGCTGGAACTGTAGGTATGACAAGAATCAACGGAAGAAAGCAACATGAAATCTCCGTACAGGGAAACGTGTTTAACTTAGATTACAAGCTTAATCCTTTAAATCCGCGACTAACTGGCACACTAAAGATGAAGCATATCAAAACTATTCCACGTGCATTAGCATGGATAACAAGTTGGCAGGTACGAGAATTTAAACTAGAAGATGGATTTATTGCGTGGAAATATTTTGAAACGAAACATAACATCAGTTGGCCAAAGTTACCTATTTTCAAAGCTGGTTGCGAAAAGTCAAATCAGCAATCATCCTACAGAGATATTTCATCAAAGAGATGGGATTCATCATTAAAAGCCAGAGTAAGTTCTACATCATAACATGACGAGTGATTAATAACTGAGCAAGTATATTAGAACGGTACCATACAATCTTGTACAGAGTATTTCTCTCTGGAGATTGTTGTTATTGAAAATAGCCATGAATCTATCATAATTAATTCATCATGCAAATTATTACGATGGAATTCAATAACTTTTCAACCTACTGCGACATCATTTATAAAAACAGATATGACATAACTCGGACAAGTTTTTATAAAAGACACTGTACTAAAGATTTATGTGTTAACTCGAAAACTACTGTTTATGTCAGCCTACGGTAAACTATCGGCGGTTGGCTGTCTTAAATCTGATTTGTTAAGGCTGAAAACTTTGTTTTCATTGATATTGTAGTGAATAAAACACCAGTGGGGACAATCCAATGTATTTGACAACCAATTACAGAACTAGTTAGTAAAATCAAACAACCATATATTGAATCGTTAATTTGCAAATTGTTAATCAATTATCTCAAATCACTCAGAATCCCCTTGTTCTTGCATTTTCATACAAATTGCCTTCTGTCTTCATTCTTTATTGTTCGATCTTATCTCTCTGCCGCCAGAAATTCTGTTCAGTGCTCACGTCATATACTACTTATGTCTACATCAGTAGCACACACCACAATATCTCTAGAGATAACACTTACTTCGAAAGATGTTTTAACATCTTAATACGTATAGAAGAAATTCACTTGTTGACTTACAATAAATAGTTGATGTAGTTGTGTTTGGTAAAGATGACAAAATGAAATCCTCTAAACTTCTTAAACAACACAAATGTCCGTTTGACATTCAATATAAAACTTTTCCTCAGGACTGGTGTGCATTAATCGTTACTGTGATAAGAGAAATTGAAGCAGTCGAGCGCATTAGCCACAATACTTTTAAAATCCTTTTCAGTACTGGTGTGTCAACAGATGATGAAATCTAGACTTGGATTGAAAGGATTTATTAGTGAACTTGGGTTACCTGTACCGTAGATCAGATGTCTGCCCTTTAAGTCCGAGCATCCTGTGTAACCGATTGAGGAATGATGAAGTTAGATTCAGGGTACTAGGTAAAGATAGCTGCGAATCTTCACCGAGTGATGTAGCTGGGGAACACTTTATATGTCTAACTTATTTATTGTGACTTGATGGTGGGTGGAAGAAAATTAAAAGGAAACGACATACGACATCGCAGACTGTCAGATAATTGAAAACATTATCTTCAGTAGGCTTGATGGATTTTATCGCTTTTAGACAAGTGTAGTTTTAAACAAACTCGGACAACTATATTCCAGCTGGTGGATCCCTATTATCAGAAATAATTCATCATTAGTAATATTTGAATATTGTCAAACTACCTGTAAATAAAACTTATATATGGTCACGTGGTTTAAATTCACACAGTTGGAAGATCAATATCAGAGTGAAACTAGAGGTATTTCTTTGAGTGGGTGAAAAGTAGTCCGTATATTTCATTACTTATTCTTTCTAGAAATTTACAAAATAATTTGGCTCATCAGCAAAGATGGATAGTGGCTAGCAGTGGAATCCGGAACGCGCGTTTCGTCCTATTTGGGACTCGTCAGCTGGATGTACCTGCATCTCAGAGTTGTTGTTCACTCTGGGACTCGAACCCAGTACCGTCCGCTTCAAACGCCATCGCGTTATCCACTTAGCTACTGAGTCCTGATAGCCACTTGCTTGTGCAATGGGGTGAAGCTTAATTCACTTGAATCTTCCCATTGATGTTTAGGACTGCAATTGATCAGTCTCTCATATTGGCATATGTGCATACTGTGCGTATTGCCTTAATTTACAAGCATTATAAGCAAAGGTGGATAGTGGCTAGCAGCGGAATCCAGGACGCGCGTTTCGTCTTATTTGGGACTCGTCAGCTGGATGTACTGATCAATTGCAGTCCTAAACATCAATGGTAAGATTCAAATAAAACAATATCAAGTGAATTAATTTGGCTCATTTTGTCTAAGCGGTTTTTAACAAAAATAATAGTAAATCTCATTCTAAGGAGACCAAAACTTATGGTCAATTACCGAAGTACTGGTTTATAAGCAAGTTGGGAATCTTATTAAAATTTGACATAACCTAATAATAACGTGGATATTGAGCTGACATTTTAGTTTAAAGAACGACTTAGTTTTCGATCCAATATACAGTAAATGATAGGAAATTTACCTGAAGTCTTGGCTACTACACGAACTTCAAACACTGAAACGTGAAGAAATATCCATATTATTAAAAAATAACCTGAGGTAGGATAGTTTTGTGTCCGTATGCGTAGGGCAGTGGAAACCTAAGTCCCTCTTCGAAATTTAGCTTGAAACTAAGAGGTATATACTGATAACGTATAACACAAAAATACTTCCACCTCTAAACAATAGAACGGCAACGATCACTTCATTCCATTACCTAACTATTCTAAAATCAAATAATTAAAATGTCTAAGCACATTATTCCATTCACCTTTTCTAATTATTTTTTTATAAAATTCAGGCGAAAAAGAACTGGTTCTACCTCTCAGTGGATGAAATTCTACACGTAAAAGGTAATTACCAAAAAGGCACTCCACATCTTGATCATATCGAAATCGAAACATATGATCACGGTACGTGGTTAGTAAAGCCACACTTAAATGGGTATTATAGTGATTTACGTAAATCAAACACAGTGAATCCAACTAGAGATCGTTTAATTAGTGACTACTTAGACTTATGGTTACGTGGACTGCAAATCGCTATGGTGCGATCAAGCCAAAAATGAATTACCATAAATAATAATGGAACGCAAGACGAGTCAATTATCAATTTTAACAGCGTGAGGCGTGATTGATTAGTTGACAGTGATACAAAGTGACTTTAGTTCTACCTCGAATATAGCGTTTTTACATATTTATTCAACGTGTTGTTGGGGTGAAAAAACGTAATATGATGAATAGATTTTCCTGGAAATCACCTTTAAATACGACTCAATCGATAAACTATTAACAAACACAATGTATATTCACCAAATGGGTAAGTAAATCAATTCCTTTGAAGGGAATTTACCAACGAAATAAAATTAATTTGAAATCACTGCACATCGCTTCTTTAAATTGTTTTTTTTCTGGACCACTCTAAGTTGAGCACAGAAACCGGCGGTAGTTGAGGAAATAAGCTATAGGCAAACGACACATTGTAACCATGAAAACACTTACAAACTAGGTTATGTCATATTTCGAAGTCACAGTACTGATTCGAGCACTTCGTTGAATGATTGAAAGATGACTATTTAAACTAAATCATGACTCAAAATATCGACCTAACCACACCATTGGTTTTAGAATAAAATATTCCTAGCTCGAATAGCTTACGTCGGTACCACTGCAAGGGATATAGTAATTCAATAAATGAAGAACTTAAAAAAACATTGTAATTATAGAGAACATATTATGTACAACAGAAGTCATAAGATGACATATTAATGACTTGGCGATAGCGAGTTTTCTTTTTCATAATACTCTGAAAAGCAAGAAAATATTAATTATATGGACGGTGTACTGTCATTCGTGAAATGTATGTCAAATTACTTATTGAAAATTAACATACCGAGGAATTCGTTCACGTAATCTGTGTCCTTTCCCCCTTTCAAACCATCACTAATATCTGGATGAACAACCAGAGGATGTAATGCATTCATGAAGAACGTTGCATAAGGTTGTCCCGCCACCTTTAGGACCTGTAGTATAACAGAAACGAAGAAAAACGGGACTCGAAAATGCGGAATTAGTGAATATTCATCATATCAACAGCATGTAAAAATAATAAACCTATGAAACTAATGTAGTTTAAAGTCGGATCAGCTTAGAAATTAAGTTGATGGTATAAAAAGACTGATGTCCCTACAGTCAAGATCTTCACTAAACAAAAATCCTTAAACTCAGATAAACTCCTATTTCAAGACAATGTCGATACTACCTTTTACGTGAAAACTTTATTATTATTTATCATCATTAATGGTTTTACTCAGTATCATACATTTAGTAAAATATGGGATTGTCAACATATAATATTTCATAAAAACAATTGATAATGGTATATATGTATACATGAAATAATTAAATAAACTATCTGGAATTAAACGAAGTGCTTTTAAGAAGATAAGAATCTAGAAAACGTTTGGCAACATGTTCAATAATACAAGCTTTGACTAAGTCACTTTTTACAACTTGCTCGTCACATGGTTTATTTGCTGGACAATGTAAATTTGGTTAAATGCATGGATTCTAATGTACTCCAGTCTTGTTCTACCAGAGGATAAACAAGGTAAAAGATATGAATCGAGCGAATGGTTAGTATCTGGTGAGATAACACTTGCCAGGAGTTTGCAAAACCCTATATGTCTATCCATAACCATGTTAATAATGACTTCAAAAGATTCGCCACACACCCTGATAACTGTCCTCAGCACTCTCCGCAATACAGCAAAATCTTTTCTCAAAAGCCCGGGAAATAATGAGGAACAGTAAAGAATGATACGAAAATTCACAAAAAGTAAAAGTATTGATCGAATAATCTCAAAAGTATGTAGCCTCTTTATGTAATAAGTCAGAAAAAACTTACTTCGATATCAATAAAGTATGATAAGACCAAGAAAGGTAAAAAGAAAAACTTATACAAAGGTAAGCAACCTTTAACATTCTTTTTATCACAGAGTCTCCAATAGTACAAACTTTATGTGATTCCCAAAAAGTGTTTAAGTTCTGTTCATGTCTCAGGCCAAAAAACAGTTTGACATCTAGAAAGGTTAAGTGTGAGACTTTTGTGGCCTGAGATATGACTCCAATTAGATCGTATGATTGATTGCTATTGATATATATATATATATATATAATAACGGAATTAAATAAGTCATATACGAGGATGAATTTCGAATACGTATATTTTGTACATTCGTTTATTGGAAAGCGAAGCAGAACAAAATGACGAGCGATGGAGAGGATGGATAAGTAAACTCTATTTAACCAAGCGTTAATCAATATTTATACTCACACAAAAATAAGTTACGGACATGTGATGAGTAGGATAAGATCTACACACATGGGCTCATATAAAAATAGTCAAGGTTGATAATTAACAAGGTCAAAACGTGACTCAAGAATAATGGATAAATTGGACTGTCTAAAATTTAGAATAAGTTGTGTGAACTTAACACAGTAACCGACACTACAAGATCATTAACAAAAAACAGTCGTTCAATGAGCGACTAGGACTCATTTATTTTAAAGGGGTGTAGAGGCAGAAATCGATGGACAGACAGTGAGACCATCCGCATCTTTAACAAGTGTTTTCTGTAAAAGATGGCAGATAATGCAAAAAGGTGGAAAAACAGCTCCGTGTATTACACTTTGAGTTAGCAGAGACGTTAAGCTCTTTCTTACCAATGTTCTGGTACGGCCGAGGGTGGGGAGAGTTCACTCTCCTTCTCAAAATGCTCCCACATGGCCACGGGTATACAGCCTCTGTCAGGGAAGTCCTACTCACTGCCTTCTCGCGGCATCACTGTTGTTTACGAAATTGAGAGGACGAAAAGCGAATGTCCGGTGCTTTAACCGGGTTGGTGGACATGGAGGATCCACCTAAGAGAGTTGGAAAACCCTAATTCCAAACCAATGGTGCACAAGGGTTCCAGTATCCTGAAGGAACAAATGGCGTATGAACTTATTGTTGGTCACTGACCACCATGGGACTGCACCTCCTGACGTTGCTCCACTGCTTTGTGGATCAGACCTTTAAATTAAAGGCTCCGGGTGTGGCCCCCTAAGAAAACCGTCTGCTTTGGTTTGAACACCCGGGCAGTATCATAGCCCACACACAAATCAATTGACTTGTGTGGTGCACCTTTGTACCAATATTTATGTGTCCAAATAAATAAATAAATAGAGAGGTAAGAGCATAACCAGTTGGTTATCCAGTTGTCAGTGTTTACGCAGATACACTTGGACGACATAGAACGTCAGTATATTTCTTAATAAAGTAGATTTAGGGTTTCGTCAGGTCCTAAACATTGAAACGAGTAAAGTGATTGGAGACACTTTCAGACATCGGTTTCAGTAAAAATCGAAACACAGCTCTTCTTCAAACTTGTGGGTACAAGAAGCATGATACCAGACGATTGAAGTGCAAAAGACTTACTTAAATAGCAAACATTCACTTGGGTATCATAACTAAACTTGCCAGTGAGTAGGAACTTTATATTTACATGTAGCCGTATATGATAAAACCAATCGATCAACAAAAATTTAGTTATCCCAGTATAGTTTATATCAAATAAACCATCCATCCATAAAAATATGATTGAACTAGGGATATGGATAGTGCACAGCAATACAGTAATAATTACTGGATGGCATTTCGAAAAGTTTGTTTGCACTTCAGATAAAATAGCTGATCATTGTGATATGAATAAGGAAAATGAATTATATAGATCTTGTCAAGTAAACAGATAAATGAAATGGCATGAAACTGAACACTATCCTAAAGCCCTAGTTTTAACTTTTATGCTACACGTCACTTCAAAGGAAGAGATCGGGTTACAAAACTGAAACTAAGATTAGGTTAATATGCGTGTTTGGACAAGCGAACCTAATAATAATAACAATATAATACGTAAAAATGTGTGAATTGATTTTATGTTGAAAAGATTTCATCAAAATGTAACTGTAACTAGTAGGTTTTGGAAAAGAATCACAAAAAGCAATTTTTTGAATTATATGAACAAGTCTTTATATGAAACACTATGTATAAATAAATTCACATGGTACATTAATTTTCAACAGCTTTAAGAGGGCATAAAACGCAAACAATCTAAATTCGGTCGAAAATTTAGGTTTGTTTCTGGCTAAGTATGAAATGGCTTGTTAATGAAAATTGGTAAATTATTTTATAACACTGTAGAGAAAACTGAAGGACCAGTACATGATTTAGTATTCTAATTATATTTTATTTTAATAGGTAATAATGCAGTCGTGGATTTAGTAATGTTAAACATTGCGGATCATTTTCGGAAATATGATTAAAGGATTTATTTACAACAAATGCTCCCCTCAAATCATTCTGTTTACATTGATATGATTTAGAATTGTTATACAATAAATTTGTACCAACTAAATTGGAGTAATATGAAACTCCCATATTATTCATGTATGCGGAACTAATATATCATGTAATCATCAACGGTTGTATAGTTGCGGAATGCATCGATTATTTGATAATACTTTCGCTCACTGTGTTGGATTTTTGTGCCGTCCCAGTTATAAATAAAACCGTATTGGTGCATGTCAAGTTAAAATATCGCTACAGAATTTACAGTATTTCATTGGATAACATTAAACAGAACAGTCTGTAAAAGTAATTAAATGCCATTTATAAAATGCTATAATTAAGAAATATGATAACCTATAAACAGATACACTATCTGTTAGCCTTAACATAATTTTAACGACTTAATAATTAGTTTTTAATAAGCGTTATTATTAATTGCAACAACAGTATAGGACTTACACTGCTAATGGTGACCTAATAAGGTGTCTGAACTTATTTGGACAGTGTGATGAAAACAGTCCTTGTCATTGCAGTTATCTAGAAACCGAGGTTAGTATGAGACGTAATATAGTATACCGCTACATATATGTTTATTATTTAGTAAATATAGTCGACATTTATCTAAGTAATTTGATTTCGCTCTGAGCAATTTAGCAGTTGTTATTAGTTTATAAACCCATTGCGTTTACGGTTGGCTTCTATGTTCTTTGATATAGCTAAGAATATAACGGCCTTGGGAAATTAAAACAGAAATCACACAAAAATATTTATTTATTCTTGACATAAAACGTTTTTATCAATCTAATGTATAAAATCCATCCCCGCAGCACGATGTGATAGCATGCAATAGATGAATAAGTATTATTACCATTCACCAAATAAACTGACAAGAAAATATCTTGAATGGCTAAATTGGTCTGTCTATACAGATATATAAATGGTTTTACCTAACTGACATGATTTCATAGGAATCAAAAGCACACGAAACAGCAAAATACTGCCATTTAGTTGGAAAACTCACCAAGTTCAGGTTTACCCAGTTGACTTCCAGATATTTTGTGTGAGAGGTAGTGATATTACCAATTCGCCAATGGCGAGCTAAACAGAGAGGGGCATGAACCTGAGGTCTAATCATTAATGATAAAAATCAGGCACGATTTCCGATAGGTGTACCTAATTACTATCTGCTGAATTTAATCCTTTACCCAAGTTAACACCTAGTTTTATAGGATTTTGGCCTACTTGTTAGCGAGCTCAATTGAAGATAAAACTCGGTTAACATATTGCAAACTTGGAGGCTACCTTTTAAGTTTAATCAACAATACCAAGGTTAATAACAGACGATTATGAAAATTAAAAACAAAAGCTTTGATTAGGATCTCCACAATCCTACACTGATAACAAAAATTTCCTTGATTTGCAAACTGTTTGTTTTTTTGGTTAACCGACATGAATTTAAGTGTTCATCTCAAATAGATAAGTATTTGGTGAACGCTGTAATAATCTATCAATATTCACAATATAAAATCGAAAAACATGTCACGTACTTCTGTAACAAAATGGCGAACAATAGAAACATCAACACGATTGCGTAAAAACAGTCTATGCATTGTGTTTATTACAGGAAGTACATGGCCACATGATAGTAAATGAACAAGTAATCCGACCAACATTCGTTTGTATTCTAGCTGTAAAATATAAACGTTCAGGTAGTTAAATTATTTTTAAAAAGTGAATATTTTGTACCTACTAAATTAGGTCTTACTGACAGAGAGAAGTGAAATAGGGAAAAACTTAAGAAAATAAAATATGCTCGTGGTAAATATAAACATACTCAAAGTAAGTATTTAAATCCTTTTGGAAAGTAAAAGGTAAACAACAAAATGTCGGGTAAAACGCTGCTAGAGGTGATTGCTGTACAGTAAGATATCAACTTTGTAAATAGTTTATATAAGAAAAGGAGGAAGATATACAACTCAATTGTATGTAAACATTAAGTTATTGATTGCTAGTTCAACTGATCTAAGCATTTAAAACGACATTTTTCATATTTATTTAATGTTTTTGTAGTCGATTATTGGTTTGTAAATAAATTTTCATCTAACAGTCTGGGATTTTTCCAATAAATTGAGTCTGACCAGTCTTGTTCCGTTGAACAAGTAGCAGAAAGGAGTTTATTTTACAGCAAAATCATTTTTGGTAAGACGTAACACTTTACATCATGGACTGACTTTAGATAGAAAACGACTAAAAACCAACGAACACCGAACATTATTTTCGTTCTAGTATGAGATTTCTCAGTAGTGAATACCTACGACCCGACCGGGGAACAAACCTAAGATCATTTTATCCAACAATAAGTTTATTACCTTCAGATTAGTAAAGTTGAAGTTCGATGGTTAACATTTTCAGCTTCAGATGGTTGGCGATATTACATGACCGCCATCTATTATCATCGGTAGTGCCTATCTAACACCAGAAATGATTGAACTGAACAGCTTCTCACTAAAGTTTTGAAAATTCACTTATAATTTATTCATTAGTATATTTTCTGAGTTTTGGTGTCTGTTTAGTCAAGTTCAATCCATGGTGTAAAGTTATCCGCAAAGAGAACAACTTCCACAAACCATGGGGCTAAGAACGATAAAATTTGTTTGAATCGAAGAAAATAAAAACATGAGATAAAGTAATGAAGATAATCTGAAAGCGAACTTATGAAGGGGGAGCGTTTAACAGAAGATACCTCGACCGTACCTGACTCAAGTCTTCCATTCCTTCAACTGAAGAGGCCAGTAATTCTGTGATAAATGCTAAGAGAGCTGGACGTAAATATTCATTGACCTCAGCCAATTCATTTACTACTATACAGTAAGGTTTCATGGTGTCCATATTTAATTCGAAATCAACGCGTTTCGTATGAAAAACGACCCGAACAAAACGAAATACACCAAGTGAAACAGGTCGACATGATAAACATCTCAAAAGCGATGGAAGATCTCGGAAAGCACGTAAACTAATTCCACTGCCAGACATATTGTTCCACTGAAATAAAAAAATGAAAGGTTATTGTATGTGTATCGTATATGTAAACTGAATTGAAGCTTATAGCGAACGTGACCAAAGTTATTAGTGACAACGAGTTGTTTAGACAGACTGTTCTTTGAAAGAAAATTATCATGCTAAATCAAATGAAGATAAAAGTGTACATAAAATCAACATCTATTTTGCGAAACGGTAATTATATTAAGTAGGAACTGGGATGAATATCAAAGTGAATTATTCTAATCTCTTTCTGTCACTTTACGGTAAAGCCTACTTAGTCTTTCGTATGGACAGAACCATAAATCATAACAACTTGAAAAATATTTTCCATAGCCAATAAAGTTATAAAAATGTTGACTTTAACATACTACAAGAACACAATTGTTTTGTGTAGGGCGGATAATGAATTCCCAATTGATTAGTAAATAAAAAGTCTTAAGAAACTAAGTGCTTTATTGCAAAAATGGTCAGAATCGTACAAGTGATTCGATTTAAAAGTTTTATCAGTAATTCGGGCCTTTCTGAATTTAAGCATGCGTTAGATTAGCTCATTTCTAGAGACACTAAGATGAAAGGTACTATATATGCTCAGTGGAATTTGAAATGAATCATGAGTTATGCCGCTCTTAGGATGCATAAATTTAGCAGTACTATTCGCCATCCGTAACCAATTAAATGTCTGCGTAACAGGTTAATGGTCATAGCTAGTGGAACGTAGCAATAACTTTTTTAACCACTCATTGTTTTATTACAGTGAGACTGCTGAATAGTTTTCAGATAAGAGAAATTTTAGTTAACTGGCTGAAGATTTACAGGAGAATGAAAGCTGTTACTGACATAAAATACATAACAAATATAGTATTACTTATCACGTAGTAAAGAAATAATCATTATTGAGACCATGGATACAGTACTAAGCAAAGCAAACAAATTAATAATTGAAGTCAACATTTATTGACCAGGGAAGTTGGGATATTTGTTGTTATTAGGTGCTAATAATTTGAAAGTCAAGTACTTACAAATGCCAAGGGATCCCCGTGGCAACTGGTGGCAAGTCTATCTTTCTTTGGCTGATTCCAGATACACATCTTCATTGAATACCTGATGAGTGACATTAAGGTGAAATGAAAAAGCTACTAGTGATCTGAATAATAAAATATTTTCACCGTTAATCACAGCTGTTTAAGAAGGTGCAGACTTTGTGGTTGAAGTCAGAGTCATAACTACAATCAATCTAGGCCACAACAACATGTTGTGGAGATGCAAGCTATTATTTACCTCCTTTGGGTTTTTCATATAATATCATTAGATGCTATTCATTCGCCAATTTTGTTAACTCTTGGTCATTCACTTTTATTCTCCCGCCATAGTTGATGCAATTACTTTTACTCTTTTGTTAATCATTGATTTTTTCCGTGATGATTTTAGGCACTAAGAAATTTGTTAAGTTGTTTTAGTCTACTTGTGTTCCGTTTATTTGTAGCGCTATTTTATGTAAAGCAGCTGTTGATGATACTCATGTACAAAGTGAGTCTCAAGTATATATATACGTAAACGACACTATTGTTGTACGAAAAGTGAAGTGAACCAGTTTCAAATAAGTGACAAAATCGCGATAAACAATACGCATAAGATAATAAACTAAACCAACGTAATCACCAGAAAATAGGGAGCATAAAATATGAGAAGAATTGCTGAATATCGTCGACAGGTTACTGGCACATACTTGTCTACAAATCCGACTTGCTTCTAAAACTTCACGTTTTGCTTCATCAACTTCAGTACGTATACATGAGATACGTCGTTCAGTAGTAGGTTCAATCTCTTCAACGACCACTGCAGCATAGCTGTAAAGATATGCATATTGTTCTAATTGTTCAGTTAACAATCTATCAGAACTTGCAAATAATGCATCTGCTAGAAGTGCTAGTACATAAAAATAAGATGATTATTGTGAGATTTATTACCACTGGTTAACACATAAATAAACTTCTTGAAATGCTATAAATAGTCTTTTGCACATGTGCACATAGGCTCATTAATTTAAGAAATAAAGAACTTGATACTTATCTTCGATTACATTCACCGGTAAGAAAATTGCTCATTCAACTAAGAATATCAAACATCATGCGGCAAGTTATTTCTGACGAACAACTTACGGAAGGATATGGTATAAAATATCCGTCACAAGTATCAGTTCAAACCCCGCCAATCAGTTAAACACAGAAAGAAATCTAGTATACAAAGACACTTAGTCGAATTCTTGCATAAATTTACCATCAACTAACTGACAACAACTCAAATAACTTGGTATTTCTTTATTGTACTGAAAATAAATTCTTGCTACACATGTGATTTTGTATGCATAGATCTTAGCAAGTTCAATCAACATCTACATAGTTTAAATCGTAAAGGATTACAGTGTTGTGGATAAAAAAGATTTATTTTGGTGTAACACATGAAACACTTACTAATTGTACCTTGCATGACAACGAAATGTTTAGTAGTGGTAATTTTTTCTAAAAGTGTAGTATGCTTAAACAAATGAAGTCATACTTAACAAAAGAACACAAATTGAGCTAACCTACTAACTGGTAGTGTTAAGGGTCATAAGAAAGATAATGTATTTAAAAAAGGAAGTTTGCTTATGTTATTTCTATAATTCAGTTAATAGTTAGCTTCCAGCAGTAATATCAACAAAATAAAAAGTGCTAGTTACAGAAATGCAAATTGGGGTAAATGTGAACAAGCATAGGCATATCTTCCTTCGATCCTGAACAAATAATGATAACAGGGACACCTATGTTCAGTAGATATTACAAAACCCTTTTTTAATATTACACATAGTATCAGGCTACTTATCTAAACAGAGTTATTTAATAAAACGCATCATTTGACTTCTTAAGGATTGATTTTGTAGTACTAAAAACTCTCACTGCTGTTTTACATAAACGCTGATGAAATGTAGACCTAAAAAACCTCAGTAACCCATATGGAAGTATTCAGAAATTATTTTTCTTATTACAAAACAAAATGTTATTTCAGAACTGGTTTAAGTCAATGCCTACAGAAGTAGCTGAGCATGTCGATTATGTTGGGAGTTTCATCGGTCTGTCTGGAAAAACCTAGGGACAGATACAGGAACTTAGTGTCCCAGTGTGATGTCTACCTGAGTACATGTACCATTTGTATTACTTTGTAGTTGGGACGATATAAATAAAATGCAAGTAGTTGGTTGTAAATGTCTTCGAAGCACCGTCAGGTTTAAATCATCCGACAAAATAGTGGATATTCCTTGACTTATCTGTCAAAATACCCACTCGTGACCATTGTACAACTCTATGAGCTAAATTGGTTATAAAAACTTTAAAGACGACCAAGCACCACTCCACTAAGTTACTGATGGTCTAGTTGTCTAGAATGAGGGTATGAACATTGTGGCTAAGGTCACTAAAGTTGAACTATGTTAACCGATGGCACTGATAAGCAGTCTAAATTATGGTACACGAAGTATGGTTTAAGTGTTCACCCCTTAAACACACGATCATCTTATCTGATTTTTATTAGAAATAAATAGTTAAATCGCTTCTGTTGACAGGTGATGTAACCTATGAATTTTGGTATTTGATAAGCTCTAACTTAGTTTCACAAGACACACGACGTGGTTTGGTATTGGTAAAGATATGGGATTGATTGTAAATCCCAAACTTGACTTTTTAAAAATAAGCTCCAATTGAAGCTTCAAGTAGTAAATTGAAACATACTTACCAATGAAAATGGGTTGTCGTAACAAAGCTACTGGTGGGGGGGCATCTCCTTTATATGCTTCCTCAAGCTGAAAAAATAATGAGAAATGTTTATCAAATAGTTTGGTAAGATACGAGTGGTCGACTTGTTTTGTATGTGTTCCCAGTGAGGTTTGATAGAACGAAAACCATGTAACTATATACCTCTTAAACTTGCCGCTCCTTATGACTTTATGGCAGTAAAGCATAATCTCTGGAAGTAGAGGACATGCATGCGCGGCAGGTTTTTGATTTGTTTCTGAAGCATTGTTCGTGTTTCGTGGAGCAAATGAGTCAGGAATGTTGAATTTAGGCATAAACTACTACGCAAAAATGCCAAATCAGTTGATTAGGATGCAAATTTTCGACGACTGAGGTAGAAAGGAGGGTATGCCACCAAAAGGTGTGTATTAATAAGGGCGATCATCAAAAGAGCGCATATTAATAGACGTGAACTCCGAAAGGGGGAATAACATTTTGCAGAATGTGAAGTCTGTTTGATATACCTTCCATCCCCTTGCCTCTATAACCAATGAAAAATGCAGTTTTCTAAACGTTTAATGAAGTCTACTTTTTAAAAAATACTTTAGTTTTTCGAATTTAGTAACAATTTGTTATTCTTTTTATTCCAGTGATGTTATCTCGCACATCTATTTTGAACAGCTAGGGGGTCAATAGTCTTTTAAGAGATGTTTAAAAAGTGCTTGAGAAATGTTTGATTTTCGCGTTGAGATTGAGTTTTCAATGCTTAAAACGGATCTATTTTAGAGTCAAGAAATTAATTTAAGACATTCTTCATTACTTGTATCCTCAAAAACATATATTATGAAAAATATTAACCGAAAAATAGAGGAAAGCAACGCATTATTAGGTAAATAATCTTGAGCGTAACACTCATATGCAGGAATTCACTACGGATATTGAAACATTAGGCCAATCGGAAATCCGCTAAATGATGAAAACATGTGACTGGGTTGGAAATAACTTTCATTTCTAGAGAATGAGACATACCATCGATCACTTAATTTCCTAAGATATATATATATAAATATATATATATCGATTTGGGCAGTCAATACACTTCCTCTTTCTTTCTTAATCTTTGCGACGAAGTAGCCCGTTGGGCTAGTGTATAAGAAGACTGCGTATCGGAGTCAACTCACGGACAACGCTCGCTACAACATATATAGTTGTTCATTCGTAGACATCAGTTTACAAAGAATACGAATCCACCTAACCCGTATGAAGCTTTCTCTATTCATAGTCAACCGTCATAAGTAAACAACGTAATCAGTGTCTATCCCTTCAGTTCCGTTATATCTGTTCTACAAGAAAAATCGGACACATTAAGTAATATATTCTTAACGATACTAAGCGTTTAATGGTGCAAACGGACGAATCCCATTAAAATTTGGAAAGAAGTTTACAGTTTCAAAGGAGTAGAGCTATCAAACTTGATGGAAATTATTTAGAAGTTCGAAATCCGGCTTTCAGCACCCGTTATTTATTACAAGAATATAAATTTCTAGATTAGTATTGAACTTTATGATTTGCTCCTGTAAACTATCACTTATCTGGGTGAATTGTAAAAACCTTTTACAGGATATCTACAAGAGATAATATAGAATTTATAAAAGATGACTAACCAGCGAAACTGCATCCGGAATTAAATCTTGTTCCTTAAGGATGATACGCATAGCATCCATGCTATCAGGATAATCTCGGGCACCACAGAGATACGTTGTGTACCGACTCACGTCACGGCCCCTGGATCGAATATGTAATGATTAAAAGGTAAATGTAATCCGAAAAATAAGCGAAATGCAAGAGGAAATGGGGCATAACACACTTACATACGGAGAATATTCAAATGACTAGTTGTATAAAATGTTAAACTCACAGGTCTATGATACACAAAACCCAGTTAATTTATCTCTACGAACTTATCTAGACAGCCTTGATAGTCTCATCACAGATATTTTTCATTCTAAAGCGTTATGTTAGAAACTGACTACCACTAAACGTTTTTAATGATTCTCAAAACTAGAAAAAACGATTCCCAGTATAGAATTTTCTGTAAGTTCTTCACCAAAAAAGGATCCAGAAAATCAAACCCAGTGTTTTAGGATGATATTACCGATTGTTTGACCATACATGTTATACTCAAACACATGTTGTAAGATATTAGTATTAACTTAACAAAGAAGCCATCAAAATACAGAAATTTTTTGCGAAAGCTTAAACTAAACAGGGAGCCAGTGAGTATTTTAAATTCAGAGAGACTAGGTTTTAAAAGCATACAGTAAAGGTGTTTTAACAGTAGTTGTACCTCTGTTCATTTATGACCATACTAACTTAGCGTCGATGTCAAAGGCGGCCCAGATCGACAAACACTACAAAATATCCCAATGGATTATAAACCTGGAACAATGGGTTAGTACAGATATGAGTATAAACTAGGAAAAATATTGGATACGTACATCTAATACAACACGGCCTGTAGCTCTTTTAAGGTTACTGCCGGTCCTAAGCCCACACAAAGGAGGAGGGTCTCCAATGCGGTTAGCAACCTCATCCCGTACGAAACAACATTACTAACAAAGCTAATCAGAATAAACAATTTATACCATCTAAACTCTACTATCCGAGTTGAAGGATCTCCATTCAGTAGAATTATGACGCCTCATGGTGAAAACTGAGATTCATCAGAGGACATGAGGCTCATTCCCCTTTCTAACAACTACAGCAACAATTAATACAGATACATGGAATGTTCAGACAATGACGGAAACCGGAAGGACAAGTTAAATGGCTACGGAAACGAGAAGATAAAACTTGACTGTTCTCAGAATCAGTGAAATCCATTGGACCCAATCTGGAAAGAAAGGGATAGATTCAGGAGAGATGCTGTTGTACTCTGCTCACGAAAAAAATGCTGCAATCAGTCACAGTGAAGTGATCAAGAACGAGAATGGCGAGAGATTTGCAAATCGATGTGGATTCAACAAATTGGTTATGGAGGCTACATAGATCTCACCGAACTACACCACACGGAGCCAGATAGATCATATCTGTATCACTGAAAAATTCAGAAGGTCAATAGAAGAGGCGAGAACCAAGGGAGAAGCTAATATAACTTCAGGTCACCACTAGCTGATAGCTGTCAAGATGGAACTGAAGCTAAAGAAGCACTGGACAACTGAGGAAACAGCATTACACAGGTCCAATACAGACTTCCTTCTTGATACTGACAAACTCAACGAATTCAATAAAGCTCTCAGCAACAGGTTCCAGGTCTTACAATATCTACTGAACGAAGAAGAAACTACTATGGAGGACAACTGGGAGGAGATCAAAAGGCACTAACTTCAACGTGTCAGGATATTCTGGACCGCAAGAAGTATTAACATAAGAAACGCAGCTCTGTGGAAACCCTGGACAACATTCAAGAAAGGAAGAATAAGAAGACAGAGATTAACAACAGCCGAACAAGAACAGAGAAAGTCAAAGCACAAACCGAATACACAGAAGTAAACAAGCAAGTGAAGAGGAGCGTCAGGAGCCGACAAGCAGAAATACCTGGAAAATTTTAATGGAGTTTTGTTCTCCAGCTCAGAGAACAAAGCTCCATAAAAATCGTGCACCTGAGCTACAAATCTTCTCCACCATCTCAATACCTGGAAGAGCTAGCGACGACAGCGGAAAACGCCGCAAGAGAAGGAAATATGAAACAACTATATGACGCGAAGAAGAAACTGGCAGGGAAATACAGTAGAACAGAGAGACCAGTCAAGTACACAGAGGGAAAGCAAATCATTGAGATTCAGGAACAAAGGAAGTGTTGGACGGAACACTTAGAAGAACTCTTGAATAAGCCAGCTCTATTGAATGCACAGGATATCGAAGTGGCACGCACAGGCCTTCCGCTAGATGTCACTCCACTAACAAAGGAAGAAACCTGGATGGCGATCAGACAAATCAAGAGTTGTAAAGCAGTAGGACCTGACAAAATACCAGCTGAAACACAGAAATCAGACATAGAAGAAACTGAAAACTTGCTCCACACTCTATTCAGGAAGATTTGGAGGGATGAACAAGTGCCGCCGACAGACAGGAAAGAAGGATACCTCTTCAAGATACCAAAGAAAGGAGATCTGAGAAAATGCGAAAACTTCAGAAACATCACACTACTATCAGTACCAGGAAACGTTTTCAACAGTGTTGCTGGAGCAGATGACAGATTCAGTAGATGCTTAACTTCGAGATCAGTAGACCAGATTCCGTAAAGATCGGTCGTGCACAGATCAAAACGTGACACTGCAAATCATCGTTGAACAATCAATTGAGTGGAACTCATCACTATACATCGAGTTTCGAAGGTATATATGTCACTTCAAATTTTCTTAATTCCCCTATACAAAAACTATGTTGTGTGTGAAGTATAGTTAGGAGCTTTACATATGAATTATATGAATAAATGCTTACGAACAAATGTCAAGATTTTAAAATGGTGCATCTATATACATAAATGTATGGACCGAATTCCGTAAAGATCGGTCGTGCACACATCAAAACGTGACACTACAAATCATCTTTGAACAATCAATTGAGTGGAACTCGTCACTATACATCGACTTCATTGACTATGAGGAAGCATTTGACAGACAGAGTGGATAGGAGAACCTTATGAAATGTTCTTCAACAGTATGGTGTGTTTGAGAAGATCGTCAACATCACATGGAATTCATACGATGGACTACACTGGGAAGTGGTGCATGGGGACACTTGACAGATGCATTCCAAGTGAAGAGCGGACTGCTTGCTCCCTACCTTTCTCATTCTTCTGGTGGTTGACTGGGTTATGAATATCTCCACGCAAATGGACAGTATCATCAATGAATATTGAGGGTCTGATGTAGATGTAACGCAAAGGTTGTCAAAGAAAGTATCGCATTCCTACACTTGAAGAACATATGGGACTCAGGACAACTGTAAACCAATATCAAAGTCACAATCTTCAGTACGAACGTCAGCACAGTTCTATTGTAGGAAACTGAGACTTCGAGAACTACCACAACCATCATCAAAATGGTACAGGTATTTGTAAACAATTTTCTCCTCAATATACTCAGTTTTCTATTTTCGAATGCCATCAACAACACCCTACTTTGGGAGATATCAAACTAGCTTTCTTCTGAATCGGAAATACTCAACACCTATTGTCCGGATACCATCAGCAACAGCCTACTGTGGGAGAGAACAAACCAATATCCAGCTGAGGAGAAAATTATGAAAAGACGTCAGAAGTTGATAGGACATACATTACGGAAAACATCAAACTGCATTACGAGGCAAGCCCTAACTTGGAGTCATGAAGAGAAACGGAAAAGAGGAAGACGAAAGTACACACTACACCGAGAATCGGAAACAGACATCAAAAAGATTAATAGCAACTGGAAAGGATTGCCCGACACAAAGTTGGATAGAGAATGCTGGTGAGCGGCCTATGTTCCTCCAGGAGGGGTGTAACATGCGTAAGTGGGTACCCAATCAAATCACTTCTGACTTTCGATCAGGTTGATAACACTGATTTATCTGTGGGACACATGTAAAGCAAACACAAGAAAATTACTTTTGTAGAGGTTGACTAGTAAAGCTATGTTTACCAAATTAGACCGAACAAGAATTTATTCATTTAGAAAGAACAGCAGAAAAAAAACTATATCGCCTAGTTAAAATATTATTAATGTTTCATAATAAAAACAGGTATGATAAGGAATTTAAATAACCAATCTGTAAAGAAATGTATTCAAGATGTAAAAACGTGTTGGTTGCAACTTTTTTCCTGAAATCAAAAGTCCATGATCACTACTGTATAAAACCTATCCGACTCAATATGTTCTCTTCACTTTTGCTTGAAATCTATCAAGAAACACTTGTATGTACAATGTAAAAACTTAAGAGTGAATCGATGTAATAGGATGTAAACCATGCACAGTGTATAGACATATATGAGATTTAAAGCAATTAGTCCCTTTTATAAATTTCGATAATGTAATAAGAAGACGGAGATTATCAGAACTATGTGTGTGTGGTCACACATACTTAGGGAGGAGCAATCGTAATCTTAACATTAGGGTGAGTGAACATGTACCCAAATGGCTGCAAAAACAAATACAATCCAGTGACCCAATAAGAGCAGAGGATAAACATCCATCATCCTCTATTGCTAAACATATAATTGAAACAGAGCACAAGATTGATCTAAACTCGGCTTTTGTAGTATTATATAAAAGTGTAAAAGGACGTATACTAAGGTTTACTGAAGCCTTAGCCATACGAAAATTCAAACCCCCTTTGTGTATTCGAAAACATTTTGTTCTTACCTTAAACCTACCCTGGTAATATTGACTTATTATCCAGAGTGATTAGGTTTTAAATTGTGTTCAGATTATTATTATTATTTCAATCATTAAGATCATGAGTCAGTTGAAGCTAGACCACCATGGAAAACCTGGAAGCACTGGACGGCCGTTTCATCCTATTGTGGGACTCCTCAGCAGTGCGCATCCACGACCTCGCCCCTTGCGAGATTCGAGCTTCAACTGACTCATGATCTTAATGATTGAAATCACTACAATCTCCACAAAACCCCTGCTGATAATATTATTATTATTATCTCCTCTTACCTCATTTCCAGTCTAGTTGACCTTTTTATTTTTATATATAAATGCTCTTAACAAGTATATGTGTGATCAGATTGTTTGAAATGTATTGCGCTAATATATCACATAGTTCTGATAATCTCCGTCTTCTTATTACATTATCGAAATATATGAGATTACCCAGTCTTTTAAATTTTCAGAGATGAAAATGGAATGGACTCAAAGTTATTTAGATTAGGTTGAGTGTTAGATACTTGCGAATGAACCACATTCTAAGTGTGAGACCTGATAACACTACTCGGCTGCCTAAACCGAAGTAGGTGGAGTGGGGTTTGAACCTGGGAGTTAGTGGTCCTAAACAACAGCTGTACTTCATTGTTCCTACAAATAACTGTAGAATTATTAATGTAATTGAATTCTCATTTGTTCACCTGAAAGGTTGAAATGATAATTTATCGAAATTTGAAGATTTTACAGAGGCCTCTCTGGTACGAAAACATAAACTGAATAAGAAAATTCACTTTAACCGGTACCAACTTACAGAAGTAAATAAAATAGAGTAAAAAATTCTATAAACGTAAGTGAACTTTTGCATCTCAAAAGTAAAGGTAATTTACTTTCAAACAATCGCGCATCTATATACAGAAAGTTTACTATTATTAGCATCAGTTAACTCTAAAACCCTAGTACAAAAACCTTTCACTATCTACTAATTTATGATAAACTATTCAAAGTTTTAACACATGACGAACTGTAACTAAAATTGAAAAAAGGATTGAACTTATCAGAACCTTCGACTTGCTTCAGCTTCCAAAAGCCAAATAAGATGATGAGCACAATGGCTCTTCATCTTTCGAGCCAAACACTGCAAGATAGATTGCAAGAGTAAATATCCATGTTCACTATGACAACCCATTTCCTAATCAAAGAGAAAAGGGAAACCGACTACAAAGGACTGTCGTAATATATAAGGATAACAAAGGTATCTTGTTTCATGAGAAAATTTCAATACATATTAGAACTCTGAAAAAGTGCTTTGACACCATTCTAGAATGGTGACCGACTTTTTTGACTACCTTTGACTTATCAGCATATTTCAACGCTGAGACGTTCTGCAAAATAACCGATGTTTAAGAAACAAGTGAAACCCTTAGTACTAATAAAATTTGTTACTTACTTACTTACTTACGCCTGTTACTCCCAATGGAGCATAGGCCGCCGACCAGCATTCTCCAACCCACTCTGTCATGGGCCTTCTTTTCTAGTTCCATCCAATTCTTGTTCATTTTTCTCATATCTATCTCCATTTCCCGGCGTAATGTATTCTTTGGTCTTCCTCTCCTCCTTCGACCCTGAGGATTCCATATGAGGGCTTGTCTTGTGACGCAGTTGGGTGTTTTCCTCAATGTGTGTCCAATCCACTTCCAGCGCTTCTTCCTGATTTCTTCCTCCACTGGGATCTGATTTGTTCTCTCCCACAGTAGGTTGTTGCTTATAGTGTCCGACCAGCGGATCTGAAGTATTTTGCGTAGACAACTGTTAATAAACACCTGTATCTTCTGGATGATAGATTTCGTAGTTTTCCAGGTTTACGCCCCATACAGTAGAACTGTCTTGACATTTGTATTGAAAATTCTGACTTTGGTGTTGGTTGCTAATTGTTTTGAGTTCCAGATATTCTTCAGTTGTAAATATGCTGCTCTTGCCTTGCCAATCCGTGCCTTCACATCTGCATCAGATCCACCGTGTTCATCGATGATACTGCCCAAATATGTAAAGGTTTTTACATCTTCCAAAGCTTCTCCGTCAATTGTGATTGGATTGGTACATGCTGTGTTGTATCGAAGAATCTTGCTTTTCCCTTTGTGTATATTGAGACCTATTGCTGCTGAGGCTGCTGCTACACTGGTTGTCTTCTCCTGCATTTGTTGTTGCGTATGCGATAGAAGAGACAGATCATCTGCGAAGTCTAGATCATCCAATTGCATCCTAGCTATCCACTGTATCCCGTGCTTCCCTTCAGATGTTGATGTCTTCATGATCCAGTCGATCACCAGGAGAAAGAGAAAGGGTGAGAGTAAGCAACCTTGCCTGACACCGGTCTTTACTTCGAACGACTTTGTCAACTGTCCTCCATGCACGATTTTGCAGTTTAATCCATCATAGGAATTCCGTATGATATTGACTATCTTCTGAGGCACGCCGTAGTGTCGAAGAAGCTTCCATAGGGTTGTTCTGTCCACGCTATCAAATGCTTTTTCGTAGTCAATGAAGTTGATATAGAGTGATGAATTCCATTCAATTGATTGTTCCACAATGATCCGTAGAGTTGCGATTTGGTCTGTGCACGATCTATCCTTACGGAATCCTGCCTGTTGGTCTCGAAGTTGGGCGTCTACGGAGTCCTTCATCTTGTTTAACAATACCCTGTTGAAGACTTTTCCTGGCATTGAGAGAAGAGTTGTCACAGTTGCTGAGATCGCCTTTCTTTGGTATTTTGACTAGAAGTCCTTCTTTCCAGTCTTTTGGTACCTGTTCCTCATCCCAGATCTTTCTGAAGAGAGTTTGGAGTATCCTTGCAGTTGCCGCTACGTCTGCTTTCAGTGCCTCTGCTGGAATGCTGTCTAGTCCTGCTGCTTTGCCACTCTTGATTTGTCTGATAGCCATGCTGATTTCTTCAATTGTCGGTGCGCCAACATCAATTGGGAAGTCCGTGAGTGCTGCTTCGATGTTGGGTGGGTTCAGTGGGGCTGGTCGATTCAAGAGTTCTTGAAGTGTTCTACCCACCTGTTTCGTTGTTCTTCAATGTTGGTGATTATCTTGCCTTCCTTGCTTTTCACTGGTCGTTCTGGTTTACGGTGATTTCCAGAGAGTTTCTTTGTTGTTTCATACAGTTGTCTCATGTTTCCTTCTCTGGCAGCCTTTTCCGCCGTCAATGCCAAATCTTCCACATATTTACGTTTGTCAGTTCTGATGCTCCTTTTCACTTGCTTGTTTACTTCTGTGTATTCAGCTTGTGCCCTGGCTTTTTCTGCTCTTGTTCGACTGTTATTGATTGCTGCTTTCTTGTTCCTCCTTTCTTGAATCTTATCCAGTGTAACAACAGTGATCCAATCCTTGTGATTGTGGTTCTTTTGGCCCAGAACCTCATGACATGTTGAAGTGATTGCCTCTTTTATCTCTTTCCAGTTGCTCTCCATAGTAGGCTTGGAACTTATTGCTGAGGGTTATCTTGAATTTATTGAGTTTGTCAGTATCCCGAAGAAGAGCCATATTAAATTTTTGTGATATTGTCCTCCCCGTTGTCCAGTGCCTCTTGAGTTTCAATTTCATCTTGGCGACCAGCCAGTGATGATCTGATGCTATATCAGCTCCTCTCTTTGTTCTCACGTCCTCCATCGTCCTCCTGAACTTTTTGTTGATGCAGATATGGTCGATTTGGTTCTGTGTGCTGTGATCCGGTGAAGTCCATGTGGTTTTGTGTATGCGTTTATGTGGGAATATAGTCCCGCCTATGACCAGTTTATTGAAGGCACATAGATTTGCAAATCTCTCACCATTTTCGTTCCTTTCTCCCAGTCCGTGTCTTCCCATGATCTCTTCATATCCGGTGTTGTCAGTTCCAACCTTGGCATTTAGGTCTCCCATCAGAATAGTCAGGTCTTTTGTTGGGCACTTCTCGACGATTGACTGCAGCCTATCGTAGAATTGATCTTTAGCGTCTTCATTGTAGTCATTGGTAGGCGCGTAGCATTGGATGACGTTCATTGTAATCCCCGTTTTCTTTGTTTTGAAGGAGGCTTTGATGATCCTTGGTCCATGAGATTCCCATCCTATAAGTGCATTTTGTGCTTGTTTGGACAGCATCAATGCAACTCCTTGTGTATGTGGGGCATTTTCTTGTTCATGTCCGGAGTATAACAGCAGCTCCCCTGAAGCTAGTCGTTGTTTTCCAACTTGCGTCCAATGTGTTTCACTGATCCCAAGCACCTCTAAGTTGTATCTCCTCATTTCTGCAGCAATTTGAAAAACTCTCCCAGTCTCCCACATTGTGCGAGCATTCCATGTACCTAAATAAATGGTTGCTCTGGTTGTCAGAAGGGGCATCGGCCTCGTGACTTCCGAAGAAACTCGGCTTTCATCATGAGGCGTCATAATTCTTCTAAATGAAGACCTCCTGACTCCCAGGGCAGAGTTTAAATGGTTTGAATAATTTTTTCTGGTTAGCGTTTTTTTAGCGAGTTAGTTTTCTACGGGATGGGGTCGCTAACCCCATGCGCAACCCTCCTCCTTTATCCGGGCTTGGGACCGGCAGTAGCCCCCGGAAAAGGGCTACCTCACATTATTAGAAAGTATACGGGAACTCACCGTCCAACCCTATTTTATCTACTTATTAAGAACTTATTAAAAATTGTGTACTAGGAGTAATCCTACATAATACCCAATATTTTACATGGCTTTCATATAATATAAGATACGTTACTGAATCTTAAAACGATTGCAGTGAACTAACTTTGATGAACAAGAGACGAACAATATATTGAACCATGTTGTCCAGTTCCGTTGTGACACAGGAAAGGAATGCCAAGAAAAGGAACAAGATAACGCTGGATCCTTACTAAGGTTTTACTTGGTACTTTTAAGTGAACTGAGCATTCAATAGATTGTTAATAATAAAAGTAGAAGTATATTCGTAGTGTCACAGTAAGTAGAAAACAAAATTTCTAGCATTTCATGACTCAGCGTAAGCCACTTCTTCACAAAATGAATAAATGAACAGATTAAATTAAAACGAGTTCAAGTTATTACAAAGAAACAAAGCACAAGTTATTTAGTACAATCAAAAAGCAGATCTGATTAAACCAATGTCATGTCGCTCTAGTCGAAATGACTTTGTGAGAAACGCTTACGTATTTGCGTGTACGTTAGTGTGTGTGAACAATGTATTTGCTATGTAAAAAGGTAAGGTTGAACTCGTATGTGAGCTGTCAATAGAATAAAATATAGTACCTTTTATCGATGATCACAAGGCTTTCTTTTCTACTGAAGGCCGTTGGATTTAGCAATATATAAAAAGCTTCAGCTACTCACCTTTCTTTAAAATCGGGAAGCTTTTTGTGTAAGTTTGATATTTTTAATATTGACTTAAAGGTTATTGAAGATAGCACGCATTGCGATTGCCGATTTAATTTAGAGTTTTTCCGGTTCTTCAGGATTATTAAGTAGTTCTTTGTGTATCTTAGATGTTTTCGACTTGAGTTATTTTACGAGACAATTCTCCAATACAGAAAGCATCACAATCAGAAAACCCCAGTTTGTAGACACCATTTTGTGTTGACGTAAAGCAAATCTTATCATTTTTACGAATTGGAATATTTCGAATGATTTTAGTTGTTTCGTAGTATGATTTAATTCTGTGTAGTTTTACGATTCTTTAGATATTCTTTGTTGCACGATGGTGGTAAGGTAGTTATTGTACTAACTCATAAGATTTCGCTTAAACCATTATTTAATGGTAAATCGTTCTGTCTTAGTACATTTTTAATAATATGATCGTCTATGAAGTAAAGATCTGACTTTCATCATTTAATAGAAAAGAGAAAACGAACTCGACTTGTGGCTAAAACAGACACAGACAGTAGGATGATGGCATCTAGTCCCAAAGTAAAGTGGTTTAAGCCATAACACATCAATTCGGTGCTGTGAGATTAAAATTAATACAGTTACTGCGTTGACACACTACCTAGTATATAAAAGGGATACTTGTACTATTCTAACAGCCTAATGGTTGAAAAAATGAACGCCTTTACAGCTAAGACATTGCTTTGCTTACAAAAAAGACTGAAATGTATATTAACTTACCAAAAAGTGGGTTAACATATCTTGTGCAGTATCAAAAGAAAAATGAGACTCTCCTTCTGATGAGTATGGTTGATGTTCGTTATCGACAGCGGAAACAAAACCCTTAACGTCATCAATGGGTGGAAGCGATTCCGAATTCACTAAGCTCATTTCTGAATGTGAAACACTAGAATAATTGGTACATGAAGCATTATTCCGTTTTGGCTGTAAAAATGCAATGGAGTACATAAATGTCTGATCTTTAACTGTATCACCAGCAGCCAGTAATGGTTGTAAAACATAGATAACGCACTTCAAGAAAATGCCTAGAGTGTTCCATGCAAGAGGAACAGATACGAGTTCTCCAATGAGACTTTCTTTTACAGCTATACACGGCATAGACAGTGATAAAAAAGGACAATCTTCGTTCCGTGGGTGCTGAGCTAGGTTATAAATGGTTTGACGCCAAGTTGGAGATTCGACCATTTGACTAAGCCACTCCATGGTGTCCTGAATTTCGAAATGTTAGGTAATGACCAAGAAAACTAACGGCTGAAGCTTCATCTGTTAAACATGTTATGGCTTTGGAACGATCATAGTTCTGAAGAATAGCTTCCTTGACAACTGATTCAATTATGTTACGAGTAGACTGAGCATCTTCATCTAACCGAACGAATGTGAAGTATTCTGAAAAGGTCTTACCAATGTAGGTGAGCCAAGTCCCCAGTTCGAACAGAAACTCGATTGCACCCTGATAGCTCTCCACTAAAAGTTCCTCTGCCTCGTTATGTCCAGTTTGTGGATTATTATATCGGATGCTAAAAATCCATTCGGTTATAAAGTTTCAGAGCTACAAATCAATCGCTTCTGCAAGCGTAGACGGGTGTTCAAGAATGGCATCTTTCTTCTTCAGGACAGCTCTGGCCTCTTCCATAATTGAGATCGCACTATATAGACGAAGAAATGAAAATTAGACTTTCACTGCTAGTTACAGAGATAAGAATGGGAATGTGCGTTTAAATAGCAATCCCACTTAATTTCAGATTGTAAATGTTTCAGCAAAAAGATACGTAAAACCGTAGCACGCACATTGGGATAAATATAAAAAGGAATCAATTTTTCTCAGGCAAGATTGTAAAAACGCTTGGAAGTAGTCATTCAATGGAATCAACTGCTCACATATGCTAGGAAAATATGGCTTCATAGACGTGATGAAAATGAAACTTCTAAACGTCAGTAATTAGAAGGAACCAGAGTGCTTCCTAAATAATTTACTCACTGAATAAATGCAGCCACAGACTTACTGTCTGACATGGTGCATGAAGCTGTCCTCTGGTACGTAATGAAAATGAGACTGCCAAATTGCAAGTCAACAAGTAAAACTTACTTAACAATTACGTTTTAGGAACAAAGTCATATGTGAACTCTATTCTCAGGCATACGACCACTAACATCTTTAAAATTAGCAGACATCAGAACATGTATTCACCACTTAAGGTTTATAGTCGTCAGTTTACGAATAACTAAGTCATATCGGATGAAGACATTGAAGAAACTATTTGAGTCAAACACCTATGTTTTGAGATATATTTTATACTGGGATAATAAAAGACTGGAAAATATAGAAAATGAATCAGAAAACAACAGGATCCTAAGAACTAATAGTGATATACAGTGAGACTATAATTTATGGACGACCTTTGAGCGATGCTAAGCTTACCTGAAGGGTTACAAAGCAGTGTGAAAAATAAGGATTATGATTTACAGTTGATGTTAAGAGTTATGTGTTGGATTTTGTGTTTTCATGGCGAATTGACATCAACTGAAATGCCAAAACGATATCTAGACAAATGGGTGAATAAATTTCGCGCTGGAATTCAAAAACTACTATTGTAGATCTGATTGATTCATCCGCAAATTATAGTCTCGCCATTGCTAATTATTTTGAAACCACTAACATTTATATCATACTAAACTTAGGTCTGTAATGCCTTTACAATAAGTGAACAAAATGCACATCACTCCGTCTCCCTATTCTAAACGCGCGATTTTGAACGGGAAGTTTAGTCCTAACGTGGTTTGCATTTCTCAAACTTTTGCTGTGTTCTTACGCAACAAAAGTACCATTTCTGATCTAAACAATCTATTCTGAGCTATAAGTTCGGTAGATTACTTTTTTCATGAGTTTCGCTCAATTTAATAGTTAACTGTGGTTTTGCCCCAGCTAACAATTAGGTTTTTTTTTCAGATTTTCACGTACAGGCTAGTTCATTTTATCTCATCTGTTTTTAAACATTTTTCTCGTTTTAGTGAGAGAAGCAGCTTCAATCCTGGCAACACCGTTTAGCGTGATGTTCTCTCACTGGCTAAGTCCAGACAAACTACCGGAAAATTGTAAGCTGGTTCATATCACACCGATATTCAAATGAGGTCGGCGCAGCGAAGCTTCAAGTTACCGACCGGTCGCTCTTCTCTCTATACCTTAAAAGATCATGGAGTCCCTGGTTTACGATGGTATACACGACTATCTGCCGTCCTTAAATTTCTTCTCACCCCAACAGCATGGTTTCAGGAAGGGTTACTCCTATATGACCAACCTGCTGACTGCGGTGGACAGATGGACAAGCATCGTTGATCGCAAGGGGAAGGCGGACATCATTTACCTTGATTTCTCTAAAGCTTTTGATGGGGTTAACCACATCTGTCTTATTAGCAAGCTCAAACAATTGGGTATCAAACCTCCTTTAATTGACTGGCTCAGTTCATATCTGACAAATCGACATTTTAAGGTCAGGGTAAACTTTAACTTCTCAAAGGCTATGGAATGTCCTAGTGGGGTCCCTCAGGGCTCAGTACTAGGACCTCTCCTCTTCCTGATTTATATAAATGATATTCCCAAACAGGTGTCGTCAAACTCATTACTTTTTGCCGATGGCGTGAAATTTTGGAGAAAGATGCGCAACCAAGGGGACATACAGGCACATCAGCAGAATCTGACTCGACTTCAAAGCTGGGCAGACGACGACGGACTTACCTCAAAGTGTAAAGTAGTCCATCTGCGACATGTCGCAGATTACAGTTACAACTTAGGAAACTCCTTTCTAGTAGTATCCCTAGTTGAAAAAGATTTAGGAGTTCTGGTGCCCTACGACTTAAAGTCTTACGCCAACTGTGACAGAAATGCCTTTCGAGCAAACCTTGCACTGGTAACATTAAAGCACATTTTTGATCAGTTTGACGGAAGAACTTTTCACATAATCTTCAACAGTTTTATTCGTCCTCATTTAGAGTACGGAAACATAGTATTCCCTCCTACACTCCAAAAGGATAAGGACACTCTGGAGCGTATCCAAAGGCGAGCCACGAAATCAGTTCAGATACTCAAATTTAAACCTTATGAAGAGCGCCTCCAATCACTCGACCTTTACCCATTAGAGTATTGGCGTCTTAGAGGTGACATTCTAATGGCTTACAGTATCCTTAACACACCTGGACATCCTCTTAAACACTAACCTAAGGGACAACATTCAGAAATTAGAGATACAACATAGTAGAACGGACTGCAGACACAACTTCTACTCCTTAAAAGTTGTCAAATGCTGGAATTCGCTGCCGGCTGAGCTAGTCCAAGCAACTTTCCAGGAGTCCTTTGAGAGGCGACTTGATCTGTTCTTAAGGACTAAGGATAGTATCTTACTATGATTTAACAATTCATCGTTTTTTCTCTTTTATCGTTAATATACCTAGGTTCTTGCCTGGAGGTATTGGTGATCCCCTGCTACTAGACACGGAAGCCTGTTAAGTGAAAGCTTCTTAGGAAGCTTGACCATTTGTCTAGGGGTTTTCCCCAAACCCATTAGCCTTCCCGAACGTTCGGAGAAATATTGTGGAATTTTGCCAGATCTGGAGAGATTTTACGAAATCACACTTATTTTGAAGCGGACAGTGGACAATGTATGCTTTCACTTTGAAACATGACCTATAAGTAGTTTTCATGTGTGAGAATATCATCAATGCACATAAAAGTTCATAAGATTTTAATTGTTATTGTTGTCAAGGATGATGCCCTTTTATAGCAAACGGACGAACTCCAATTAGCACGACAACTAACCTTATGAACTAAGTAACACACATACTCGTAGCAAGCGCCAACTACAGTATCCAAAACTGGCAAACCCCGAAATTTGTACATAGGATTAGAGAAATATTTGTTCCTCACAGTATTCGTCTGAGTGACATGATAGCTTTTTAGATTAATAATGCTCTAAATAAAGTGATAAAAGACAAAAATATCGTTTAATAATAGCAGGCATATCTGAGTAGTGATTTTCCTCAGTGCCTGTCTAGGTGAAATAAACTTATAATCTCCTTCTAAAAGACTCTGTGGAGAGCTTTGTTACTATCTACCTCGGTGGAGAGTTCAGCAGTTTATATACTCTAACCAAGAAATACTTTAAATCGACATTCATGAAAGTTCTTTTGTGCTCAATCTGAAATTAGCTTTCTCACGAGTGTAGTTAAGTATAGGATTTTAATTGCCACTTCTTACTGCAGGTATGATTAAGGACAGTGAAGTGTATCTCGATCGTATTCCCGAAATTTGTTCGTGATGCATTCGTACTAAATTTTAGCGTTTCCAGCTGAGCTGAATGTTGTTTATTTTTCAAACCGAGTACCTTTATTGCTACCTTTTTGAAGTAGTTTCAAAGCACCGACGACTTTAATGAAGTATTAGGGTGTAAAGTAGGATCATCTCCATAGATGAGGTCATTATCAGGCAGTGAAAAAGATACCAAGTAATTTCTCAGTCTGGATACCTAATGTTTTGGAAAGAAGCCGTAAGACAGCCTGTTTTGTTAGCTACAGAGTGTCAATGAGAAGAAACGCCCATAATTTCACATAAAATGCTGTCAACGTCCCCTTCTTCCACAGGGAGTATGATACTCGTATTTCTCAAGGAAGTATGAGATAGATAGAGCATCATTTTTGTCCACTATTATCATTCTGTATTTTCATGCATTGAGTTTTCTTGAAGCAGCTATATATCACCGAGATCTAGTCGTTTTTCATCTTTATGTCACTTGGACGTAGAAGCGGTTAAGAGTCTAGAATACAAATTAACATGTTAATGAATATGAAGAACAGAAGTATTTTCGAGGACTGTGCCTCATAGGACTATTGATTATTGAAAAGTCGAATCTTTTAATAATCCAGAAGCAATTTGATTAGATATTTACTGATGTCCAATAATTTCAATTTTACTTATTGAGTTATATAGTGAAGCCTATTGAACGACTTGCAGAAATCTAGAAGGCCTGTTTCCCAGCTTTTCTAGGTAGTCGAAAAATTTGTATGTTGTGAACCAGATAGTATAGATTTACTTAGTAGATAGGTTCTGAGGTATTTATTGATAATTCTTTCCACTCCCGAAGCTACTAACAGCATGGAAGTCGGTCTGTAACCTGTAGCTTCCAACCCACTGTTTCCTCGTCATGCGAGTGTGACTATAACCGTTTCCTAGTTGAAGAGTCATCTGCCAAAGAACTGTGATAAATCGTTTGATTCGTTCAGGCTCATACCTTGATGTTAGGGATAGGTTTCGAATAGGCAATAACATTCACTGAGGTTATCGTATCAGTGGGGTCGCAATGTCCTCAGTGAATTCGTCGGCCATTCATTAACTAAATACGGATAACTGACTTCTCTAAAGTAACAGAGCTTTTGCTATATCACCACGAAGCTATTTTGCTGCTCACACTGGTAGTGGGTTTATTTGGAGATTTAGAAGAATGATGGTAGGAAGGAAAAGAAGTTAGAAAAAAGGTTATACGTGATTAGTAAGTATAATAAAGTAGTGATAGGGGACTATGAAATAGCACGTGATAAAGAACGGATCAAATCTTTAAACGGAATATTGTTTATCTCGTTCACTGACACCTTGTTGGAGCTAAAAGGGTGGAGTTCGGGAGTCTCTTACAGCCGACTATGAAAGACCTTATGTTAACAATACTCTAGAGGGATCATAGCCAAAAGTACACACAGTGCAAGCAATTCGAGATTTTGTCTGAGAGTTATATATTTGGCCAATATTTTCCTCAAGATTTCTAGGTTGGTTCTTCACACGTGTTATAATCCGTCTGAGCTATTCACATCTCACTTTAATGAATGAACTAATGATACGGGACCAGCATTTCGTGCTTTCATCACAGGAAGCAAAGGTGCTTACCGATAGGCGATACTTTTTATAACTATCATAAATTCAGATTTATTAATCACCATTTGTTTAAACTGGATGGAACTAGGAAGGAAGGCCGAAGACAGAGTGGGTTGGAGAATGCTGGTTGGTGGCTTATGCTCCATTAGGAGTAACAGGCATAAGTAAGTAAGTAATTTGTTTATAGGTTTACTAACCAGTTTGCTCATTATCATTATAGTGTTATGGTAGATAAAATCATATCATCATAAAAGTTTCTTTTGAGTTTAGTGATAAGGCCTAGGTTAAGTTACTTTTCATATGTCGAGGGTACGAAATCGTACAGATCAATTCAGCAGATAGCTAAAGATAAGATTATCAGTATCGGGGTTGTGGAGATTATTGAGTTTTTGATTGAGATCATCAACCTATGAATGTTAGACCACCGTTGAAAACCTTTAAGCACTGGACGGCTGTTTTGCCCTGGTACGGGACTTGTCAGTAGTGCGTTCAAATGGTTCAAATGGTTGTGGACGGAATAGAAGAAGCTTTCACTTAACAGGCTTCCGTGTCTAGTAGCAGGGGATCACCAATACCTCCAGGCAAGAACCTAGGTATATTAACGATAAAAGAGAAAAAACGATGAATTGTTAAATCATAGTAAGATACTATCCTTAGTCTTTAAGAACAGATCAAGTCGCCTCTCAAAGGACTCCTGGAAAGTTGCTTGGACTAGCTCAGCCGGCAGCGAATTCCAGCATTTGACAACTTTTAAGGAGTAGAAGTTGTGTCTGCAGTCCGTTCTACTATGTTGTATCTCTAATTTCTGAATGTTGTCCCTTAGGTTAGTGTTTAAGAGGATGTCCAGGTGTGTTAAGGATACTGTAAGCCATTAGAATGTCACCTCTAAGACGCCAATACTCTAATGGGTAAAGGTCGAGTGATTGGAGGCGCTCTTCATAAGGTTTAAATTTGAGTATCTGAACTGATTTCGTGGCTCGCCTTTGGATACGCTCCAGAGTGTCCTTATCCTTTTGGAGTGTAGGAGGGAATACTATGTTTCCGTACTCTAAATGAGGACGAATAAAACTGTTGAAGATTATGTGAAAAGTTCTTCCGTCAAACTGATCAAAAATGTGCTTTAATGTTACCAGTGCAAGGTTTGCTCGAAAGGCATTTCTGTCACAGTTGGCGTAAGACTTTAAGTCGTAGGGCACCAGAACTCCTAAATCTTTTTCAACTAGGGATACTACTAGAAAGGAGTTTCCTAAGTTGTAACTGTAATCTGCGACATGTCGCAGATGGACTACTTTACACTTTGAGGTAAGTCCGTCGTCGTCTGCCCAGCTTTGAAGTCGAGTCAGATTCTGCTGATGTGCCTGTATGTCCCCTTGGTTGCGCATCTTTCTCCAAAATTTCACGCCATCGGCAAAAAGTAATGAGTTTGACGACACCTGTTTGGGAATATCATTTATATAAATCAGGAAGAGGAGAGGTCCTAGTACTGAGCCCTGAGGGACCCCACTAGGACATTCCATAGCCTTTGAGAAGTTAAAGTTTACCCTGACCTTAAAATGTCGATTTGTCAGATATGAACTGAGCCAGTCAATTAAAGGAGGTTTGATACCCAATTGTTTGAGCTTGCTAATAAGACAGATGTGGTTAACCCCATCAAAAGCTTTAGAGAACTCAAGGTAAATGATGTCCGCCTTCCCCTTGCGATCAACGATGCTTGTCCATCTGTCCACCGCAGTCAGCAGGTTGGTCATATAGGAGTAACCCTTCCTGAAACCATGCTGTTGGGGTGAGAAGAAATTTAAGGACGGCAGATAGTCGTGTATACCATCGTAAACCAGGGACTCCATGATCTTTTAAGGTATAGAGAGAAGAGCGACCGGTCGGTAACTTGAAGCTTCGCTGCGCCGACCTCATTTGAATATCGGTGTGATATGAACCAGCTTACAATTTTCCGGTAGTTTGTCTGGACTTAGACAGTGAGAGAACATCACGCTAAACAGTGTTGCCAGGTTTGAACTTTCTTCCATCCGTATGGCGGAATGGACCATTTCTGTTCTTAGTTGCTGCAGTTTCCGGAACACCAAGTCAGCTCTCAGCTTCACTACGGAGCGTCCTGTGCAGTTGCAGATTAATCTTTCATCAGTATAGTTGATGTTGGTCGGTTGTAATTTACGGGATTATTGCTCAGCCAGAAGGTTAGCGGCGTCACCGTCATTATCTGTCGGGCCGTTAGGACCTAGCAGTTGAGAAACTCCAGTTTTGGCTTGACGAAGAGAGGCCACATAACGGAATAAGTTTTCGGATTGGAAATAAATTTATCCATAAACTTTAACTGGTACTGAAGCCTATCTTCTCTTATAGCCTTCGTACATATATTCCTTATATGTTTGTATTATCTGTATTCGCTGTTGTTGTCGGTTCGTTTGTATTCTGCCCAACAGTGCCTTTTGCGGCTTAACAAACGAAGAGTGCGGTTTTTCCTTGATTGTAGGTTGCTTGTGGCTTTTGGGGACAGTTTGAGGAACTTACTGCTTTGTAGCACATAAGAGCGTGTGTAGTATGAAGTTCCAGTGAGAATCCACATCAAGTTGAGGGTGAACATCACAATCAATCTGTTGTAGATAGTTCTGTAGAGCTGACACATTCAACCGTTTGAAATTCTAGCGCCTGTTGTTGTTGATGGGATATCTTAGCTCAGTTGTGCTGACAAAAGTTGTAGATTTGTCATGATGTAACTGCCGAATCTATAAGATCTTACGTGGAGGTCACATCCCTGTCTACACCAATTCATCGCATCGTAACAATTACCAATATATAACGAAGAAAAAACTTGGGCCAAAAATAGAACAATATATTTGATGTTAATAAAAGATAATAGACAACACTCAATAATGACCACACCTGCACGGCTGAGCCATGCCATCCGACTATTCAATTAAATTAAAGGGATTACTTTCCCCCACCTTCTCTATCGTCGGGGTTTCTCCGCGTTAAATGTTGAATATCTATTTTTCCAGTTGTCTCGTGTTCAGATTAGAGGATTGTGTATTTAAGGCCCAATGCCACTAGAGATACACACATGATGATCGACATTGAGCTACCTGTTGTCCAGATACACAGTGACTTAAGTAACTGTTAGCCAAGACTTAAAAACGTCTGCACACTGCCGTTTTAGACAATACGTACCTTTTTTTGATCATGTGGACGCTAAAACGTTTTCGAACTTGTGTACAATATTCGTGCGTCCTAAAGTTGAATATTGCATATAAGCCGCTAGCCCCTGCTTAAAAAGGGCAGTGAGCTTTTTAAAGAATGTTCAGATAACAGAATCTATGCTGATTCCTGTATGATGGTCGACTGGCCAAACAAAATCCGTTCCCGTTATCATATCGAGGAACTAGAGATGACCTGATTACCGTATTATTACTTGACGAGAAATTTGCACCTGACGTATCCTCATTATTTTGTCTCCCGAGGCAGAGAGTCTACGAGGACACTGCAAATAAGTTTACAAGCCCAGAATAAATTACTTGTCAGATGACTATGGACTTTCCCATCGAATCATCAACGAGTGGAATTCATCAAATCAGAACGTTGTTGAAACTATATCTGTCGACTCTCTCAAAAAAGTTCAATCAACTAAGTGATCATCGTTGCCAGATTCAACAAAGGCCAAGAAAATTCTTTTCTTCTTCAGACTGAAACAAAACCATCTTTTGTTTAAACGGGTGAATTTATTCGTTGCTATAAGTTACATTCTTAGAAGGTGTTTGAAAAACTCGTCTTCAGAGCGAAAATGTTCAGGAATACATTTCAAAGTGGATTTCTTTCAATACTTTATAGTGTTGGCAGTAAACCTCTTCAGATATGGGACAAAAGCGTATTTTAAAATTTCTAACTCATGAAGAAATACTAGGTAATGAATGGACATATAAAAAGAATAACAGACAACGATATACAGTCACTTGTTTTGGAGCTGATGGGAACTAATGTCAGGTGCCTTTCGTTTTTCATTTTTTCATTAATTTCAGTACTACATTCATCACTTGTCCGGCTGAACCTAAGCGAAGTCTAGGCATTAAGCTACCATTCCTTGTGATGATTATTAAAAATCTAAAGAAGTATTTCACTTTTGAAGTCTTGGTTTGTAAAACGCGCGTTTTGCACTGATTATATTCTCCAGATTCTAGATGACAAGAAAATTAGACGGAGATTTCGAGCTAGCAACTATCAGAGTACCACTCGTGTAAAACCTTTTATTTGTACTATGCCAATGCGCTTAGATGAAGGATGGAACCAAATTCAGTTTAATCTTTGCGACTTCACAAGACGCGCTTACGGAACTAATTACGTAGAGACGCTGAGAGTGCAAGTTAGTATTTTATCGATAGCATTAATAGTTAGTATATGAAAACGGTTAGTGAAGCCATTGTTGTCAAATATGCATTTCTGGATTCACAGTTTTCAACGTCAAAAGACATGAGCTCAGATGCAACGCGAGTCCTGGGACATAGATCTTTGTTGATTTTATCACTTTTAAAAATTTTACCATAGTATTAATTTTACCACATAAGCCATTTTACGTTATTTTACGACGAATCATGACTTATTAAAGAAAGCTGATATTTTCGGCAGTTTTGTATAACCAGGTTACAGAATGATCCGTCATACGTTAGCGGTAAAACGCAGATAAATATTAAAGAGGCACTAGTGTGAATTGTTGTCATATATACATACCAGACGTTGTAACTAATTTCGTCGCTGATTTAAATGAATCTTTCTAGTGGTATGAGTTAATCTCAATATTATTTGTGAAAATTCAAACCATCAAGGCATTCACATCTTATTGGACAGTTACATAGAAGCTTAGTTATTCCCTCGATAACTGTTTTACATCTGAATTTGTGTAGTGTTACTATATTCTGGATTATTTGGATATTGACAAATTTGGTGGTGACTTTTCATGTATGAAAACACTTAGAGAACGAACTGTACAAGTATTTTTGATTGATAGGCTAGCCTTAAGGCTAACTTAACAAATAATATGATTTGCGCATAGCGAATCTAACAATGTACCAAAAGCATTTAGTCACAGTAGCTTGTACTTTCTGTTGACAACTAACAATGTGTTTACGAACACAAGTGAGCAATCATAGTTCAAAGCAATAGTTTACATCTAGGAACCAGCCAGCCTACTTTGTTGTGTATTCAGACTGCATTTAACGACTGGATTTGAGCTCAGAGCCCAAAATTCTTAAATTATCTCTGAAAAATGTTCATATTTAGCCGTATATTTGATCACAATAAAAATAACCTTTAACGTCTAAAATTATCAAAATAATTTCTGAAAAAAGAAACAACTAACATTATCTGGAAATGGTAAGCACCACATCAAGAGAAGTTGTACAACAATATCAGTTATTCAAATTCATCATTTGTAAATGTAATGCGTTAATGGCTGACGAAAATCTATGACAGACCAATGCTTAACAACTTGAAAAGATTGTAAATTTTTAATTGTTACGCAAATTTTTACGGTTTAGATCTTGCAGCTCCTGAGGTCTATATATGTATGAGGGGTTCTGAATGCTCGCTGACGAAAAGTTCCACAATAGGACAAACGGCTATACAATCTTTCCTGGTTCTCAGTGATGGCCTAGATAAAATGGGTTCGTGATGTAGACTAGAAAATTTCCACAGTCTCTACATATCAACCTGTACGAATGATATATAATGATTCTTAAGTGCCAACATAATATCCCAACATAATGTATTAGTAATGTAAGCAATGATAGATAGTGGCTAGCAGTGGAATCCAGGACGCGATTTTCGTCCTATTTGGGACTCGCCAGCTGGATTTACCTGCATCTCAGAGTTGATGTTCACTTTGCGACTCGAACTCAGTATCATTCGCTTCAAACGCCATCGCGTTATCCACTCAGCTACTGAGTCCTGATAGCCACTTGCTTGTGCAATGGGGTGAAGTTAAATTCACTTGGTATTGTTTGGCTTGTATCTTTCCACTGACCATCATTACTTACACTACAAAAAGCCTGTGAACTAAGACAATATCGAGGCATACGCACAGTATGCACATATACCAACAACAGACTGGTCAATTGCAGTCTTGAACCTCAATAGGAAGATACAAGCCAAACAACACCAAGTGAATAATGTATTAGTGTTTAAAAGTATGCTCATTGTATCTCTAATGCCATGCATTTGAGGTGTCGGATGATTTTGGTGTCATTTTTCGACACAAAAGGATAACTCATCTGCGGCTATCATTATTGATTTTAGCCACTTACAATCTCTAGTAACTTGTCTAAACATACTCCCGAGTTTGATCAAGTGATCTGATGAGCAAATAGTTTATTGCTTTGCTAAGCAGACTTGCTAAACGCGGTGTGAGGTAATTCTCCAATTTCATTACAGTCAGCACTAATAGATAACTTTGATAGGAGTTATTTTCGGCTTAGGTTATTTTTTGCTAGCTGATCAAGCTAATTTATTTAAAATTTAATTTATAAAAAATAATAAAGTATACCCCAGTTTTGCTCGGGTCAGCACAAGCGAATCGCTAACACTTATGTATTATGCTTCATATCATCATCAACAGGTTCAGTACACATCAGTTGGTAGCTGATGACGTTTAAGTACAGTTATATTACTTTTGCCGTCCTCTTATGCCGGTTTATTCCTGGATATAGAAAGAAGGCAGACTTTTTCAACAAGTTTCTTTCTATTATGAAGTTCAAAATAGTAAGATATTATCAATTAGTAGTTATATTTAATTGATAATGGTGTTTCCTTTTTTACATCGTACGACTAAGGGTCTGTTTGGATTTGTTAACAAGTGAATTTTAGGTGCTAAACTATAAGATGACTGAAGTTCAAATCACTCCAATTCCAGAAGTCGTTATTCAGAATTTTTGAATAATAAAGGGGCTAATTTCATGTTGGTCATATCATGTGAGCAGTGTTGTCTGATCACTCCGGGTAATCGATCAATACTACAAAGATTAATAATGAAAGTAATATGTTATTATACAATGGCTATTATGAGTTTGGAAATAAGCTCAAAGGGTTGTAATTTATAGTGTTGTCACGATTCCTGAATAATAAGATATAAAAGTTTTATTAAATTGTCTCTCTCCCAATACAGAATAAACAAATAATCTAGATGACGATGCTTTTTATTTATTTTTAGTTCTTCTTTATATATGTATGTCCTAATGGTAGAATATGTCATCTTTGGCGAATAGTAATTGAAATCCACTTTGAATTAGTTGCATTGTATTCATTATTATTGTTAAAGATAATGATAAAATAAAATAAGGCTTTACAGATGGACGTCATTAATATAAGACTGACCAAGTTTCATGTTAGTATAGTCGAAGAATGGGAATTAACTAAACATGGAAAACAACAAAGGTGATAAACATATGGCATGCAAGATATTGAACAGCAGGGGGCTTCCATATCGTGAGGGAAGACGGAGCCTAAGTTAATTTTTTGTTAGCAGCCTTCAGTATTATCATTTAAAGTCTTGAACTGTTGATTATGATGACATCTAAGGAATTACTGAGAGGTCTTGTAGTTGACTGCAATAAAATTATTGTTGATATCGAATTTTTTGCCCTAAAATGTCTATGTTTGTAAAGATGCAAATATAGTGGTTTTTTTTATTTTAGATTCATGCCAACTGTCGCATACGCAGAGTCTACTTTTGTGATCGGCTGTATTCAGAAAGCGAGCTACCCCCAGAGTTCAAATTGTATCTTCCAGTTCAACAAAAAGTAGCTGCTTCTTGATCTTGAGAGTAGGCATTTACAAACACATGCAAATTGTTTAAAAAACGACATAATAGGATGCCCATTTAATGCCTGTGAGAAATTTACTTGTAAAATGAAGTAAATAAATAATAACTCAGATAAAAATATTTTCTTTATGTGCTTGTCAGCAGGCAAGAATTAAAACCTGTGGAATAATTAATTACCAAAGCTCTCTGTACATATTATCTACTTATAATGAAAAGCAGGTCGCTTATAAACGCACTGCATATAGCAAATCATATTGGTCACTTGCATCTATCATACTTTTCCACATCAAATGACCCAGTAGCACAGGTTACCGTACTTAAACTAAGGACGATGGATTGTACCAGTAAATTAAAATTATAATAACACTAAAATTGATTGGTCCTTGAAGAGTTCAATGAACTGCTTTTTATGCCATTCGTGGTCATTAGTTATGTGAGTATTACAAAAGCTTGCTAAAAGTTTGGCTCTTCAGGGTTAGGTTTTTCTTATTATTATAAGAAAAATAAATCTAAGATGAATAGCTGTTTCAGATTACTTTTTATCCCGCATTTCAGAAATGCGATGTAGTAGTGTGCTTTATCGCTTAGTTTATTTGAATTCATAGTTGTGTTCAAACAACATCGTGCTTTTGATATTAAGAACAAGTTTTAATTGTATATATGCTACAGTATTTAAAAACCTTTCAATAAGTCAACTTTTGAAATGTCAGTTCATTCTCCATTGTTATTTCAGTTAAGTCCTTAAATGGTGCATATTTTAAACACAAATACATATAACCCGACAAGTTTGCATTAATGAAATGACATAGAATACCGGTGATTGTTTGTAAACTCCAAAAACTCTCCAATTAGTTTCATTCAACTACATATCATCATGCGTTTAATGAAGTTAGAATGATATGGTAATTACATAATGTCCTTTGTTTTACCTAGTTGTCATCAGGTGAGCTCAAGTGTTATTAAGAGGAGGAAGAATATTTTATTATATCCAAAGTTTTCATGAAATGCATACCTTTAAAATGAGCAGTTATATCAGCTTCCTAGTTGTGTCCACTTTTACTCCACAAAGATTACTGATTAGGTACCAAGCTGTTTATGTGGAACCATAAATAAAAGTATTTAGACTATGTACCTGAAAAAAGAAAACAAAACATTTTACAGCAAAAGAACAAAAAGCGAAAGTTCAATTTTGATGTTTAATGTTGAATAAATAGCCAATAGTTATACAACTAATTAAATAAAGATTCAATTGAAGTACGTGTTTTATTCTCGACTACTCATAAAATGAAATAATCAGAGACAAATATTAGACTAAAGTTTATTCACAAATTAGTAACATAAAAATGATGGGAAGTACCTTATGCATGAGTAAATATGAAGGAATTAACTGCAAAGATAGTTTCTAAGTAGTGAAACACGATATCAGATTTGCTAAGGAAACAGTTAAGGACGGCCCATGCATATATGGAAGAAGAAGTGCTCGAACTCTGTATTTTTTTGTCTTCTACCACTTCCCGTTGCTGAAGAAATTCAGTATCGACTATTTTATTGAACCTGAGCCATAGATTTGTTTTGGTAATATGTTACTGAGATAGAAAGATGGACCAATATTTACGTTGAATGGGTTGGAGATACCATCAAATCTATGATATTAACATCTGCTGATATGAAAATCTATTTTGGAAATCTCAATTTCTTTATCTACGGAATATAAGTATCTTCTTATAACATTTGATTATCTTTGAGGTAGATAAATTGCATTCTTTGAATACATAATGATTGATCATAATAGAACAAAATGTTTTGTTCAACTACTGGGCATACGAAATCGGTTTTCTTTGACAATTAAATAATTTAAACAATATAGCAATAAAATATGACTAAAATGAAGCACCTCATAAATATTCGAAAAATACTGATTTGTGCAAATGACTTCATATTAAAATAAGCATTTCATGGTTCATGTAGAGATTATTCATATCGTTTTTAAATTAGTGATGACTCGGTATTTTATTGCAAGTCAACAAAATTTTTAGAAATATTTATATCAGTTAGCCCAATAAACTAGTAGTGCATGGAGGACAGCTAACAGACGCATTCCAAGTAAGGACCGGAGTAAGACAAGGCTGTCTACTCTCTCCCTTCCTCTTTCTTCAGGTGGTCGACTGGATTATGAAGACCTCGACATCTGAGGGAAAACACGGCATACAATTGACAGCTCAGAACCAATTAGACGATTTGGACTTCGCAGATGACCTAGCCCTCCTATCCAGTACACACGAACAAATGCAGACAAATACAGCTAGCATAACAACAGTCTCTGCATCAGTAGGCCTCAACATACACAAAGGGAAAACCAAGGTCCTCAAACACAACACGGAGAACAGCAATCCAATCACTTTTGATGGCGAAACTCTGGAAGACGTGGAATCCTTCACATACCTGGGAAGCATCGTCGATAAACAAGGCGGTTCAGATGCAGACGTAAAGGCGAGGATTGGTAAAGCAAGGACAGCATTCCTTCAATTAAAGAATATATGGAACTCAAAACAACTCTCAACCAATATGAAAGTCAGAATCTTCAATACGAATGTCAAGGCAGTTCTACTGTACGGAGCTGAAACTTGGAGAACTACAACAACCACCATAAAGAAGGTACAAGTACTTATCAATAGCTGTCTACGCAAAATACTCAACATCCATTGGCCGGATACCATCAGCAACAGTCTTTTGTGGGAGAGAACCAACCAGCTTCCAGCGGAAGTGGAAATTAGGAAAAGACGATGGAAATGGATAGGACATACATTGAGGAAATCATCAAACTGCATTACGAGACAAGCGCTAACTTGGAGTCCTAAAGGGAAGAGGAAAAGAGGAAGGCCAAAGAACACATTACGTCGGGAAGTAGAAGCGGATATGAAAGGGATGAATAAGAACTGGAAAGAGTTGGAAAGGATTGCCCAGGACAGAGTTGGATGGAGAATGCTGGTGAGCGGCCTATGCTCCTTCACGAGGAGTAACAGGGGTAAGTAAGTAAGTAGTAATAAACTAATAGCGTTAAGAAACAAAAATACATCATTGCTAACAATTTCTACAATCTTTCACCTAATATGTTTGGTTCGTAAGGTTTTAAAACATGTGTGTGATTTGTCCAAGAGAAATTTTGAGAAAAGTACAAATCATTTGTATTACTCACGAGAATTTGTTCTGTAATGGTGGGGATCATTGATATAGGTCCATTTACTATTTTAAACTTAAGCAAGCAAAACAACCTAATAATTGGAGATTAATAAATATGTTTTCAAACATTTTCAGGGGTCTATCATCACTATTTACCTATGGATATTTTCAGTCAATTCTAGAGTCATAAAACTTTGAAAAATATAGTATATACAACCTATGGAATCGGAAAACATATAAAAATTATATGATCTATGTTATTGAGAAGATCTGATTTTAAACAAAAAGCTAGGTATCTTAGAATTATAACTGGTTGTAACTCTAAACACCATAAACCTAAGACAGAAAATTTAAAAACCAAGAAAGACAAACACAATGACAGACATTTTTTGAAGGCTTACCTTGGTAATTTTGGTTGCATTAGCTTCAATTGTTTACAGAAGATGAATTTATGCTTCCTGTTTGACGATTATCTTAAGAATTACTAAGTATTCAGGTATTACTGCCAACGTTGAACTTGGTAGTTCCAAATAAATTGGACATTGGGTAAAAAGATAGTGATAAATATTTATTTTTTGTTATATCCCAATTTTCTGCTCATTGGGATCTAACCAAAAATAAATACTGTTATGTTAAATACTAGCTGATTAAAAAAGACTAAAATTTAAGAGTTATTGTTTTTTGGCCATACCAGATAATAGTTTTTCTATGTTGTTAATTGTATATCCCGTGGGGTGAAATTTGCAGAAGCGAAATCAGCTGTAAATGATATATACGTGCATGTATATGTGATGAATCATACCATTTATAAGTGATATATATATATATAACTGATATATATATATATATATATACCTGTGAAGAATATCCACTTTTACCACAAGAGTACATGAGGTTCATGAATATTACTTTTTATATACACCAAGATATCGTCAGTGTCATCCATTCAAGATCATAAAACATTTTTAGCCTTCAGATATAAGCTTTGGTTTACTGTATAGATTTATAATATTTCCGAAGTGTTTAAGGGTTATATACTCTAATGAAAGTTGCAAGAGACTTAACAATTGCCTTTCTAATCACTTGAAAGAATATACTGATAATACAATGAAAATGAAATGGAAATGTTTATATGTATCAGTAACTTAAGTCAATGAGAATTAGTCAGTGGTTGAATGAATTTCTGAGTTGCTCAATGATAAATAACGAGCCTCTAATCTTTGTATAAAAACTATAATAAATGTTTGTTTCAAGTAACTCAATTCCTAAGACGACAATTTCAGTTCTTTTAACTTAATAGTTAAATTAATTTTTCATGCGTGCATAACATTCTTTGTAATACACCTGATGACTAGAAATATATTGTCCGGGTTTTTGTATAATAATAAAAAACACAAATCATTTCTGACAAAGTTTTCAGTATTTTTGCAGTTTAGTTCTCTGAATCAATTTACTAATGATATTTTAGGTGTGATAGTGTTTACCAGACTAAAGAATGTACGAAAACTCGTCCCCATAAGGTCAATTGAATAAATGAGATTCAACAAGAAAAAAACAAACAAAATAATGCCATCTTTACGAGTGCCAGTATTTGATTATCAGTTTGAAGTTGCTATAGAATAATTTAATCAATAATCTACGTTTATAATTAATTTCTGGGGTTCAGTGATGACCTGTTCAAACGATCATTTTTGTAACTGACCAGTAAATAATATTTAACTTTTGATTAAATTGTTTTAGTTTGATTCGGTGCATTCATGCATACACTTGAAAGTTTAGAAATGATAAACATTTACATGGTAAAGAATAGTTTGAGAAAAGGATGTTAAATTTTATGTTTTCATTTGTTTCATAGAGAAGTCATATTTAATACCTCAAAGTAAACGACTAGAAAGTGAATCCGGTCAAATATTATATGACCAGATGTTTTATTTATTG